GTGGGCCATATGTTGCCCATGGGCCCTAGGTTGAGGACGCCTGTTCTGGAGTGAGCATTAGAAGCGAACTGAGTTTACTGTTCCTTCGTGTGGCTATGTTGAACTAACTAGAAGTAATTTCTTCCTGAGGAATTTTTAGGGATAATTTTGATTATATGCAATGTTTGCTTTACCTGCTGACATTAGACCCCAACCTGTATTTAAGATTTAACCCCAGTGGAAACCAAAGGAAAATGATACCCATTATTTCTGATCAATGTTAATCATACTTTTATGGTCTAAATTTTATTTCCTATATATCTCCCATCTTTTTTGGACAATATTACCTTTTAAACTCTTTTACCTTTATGACAAATCTATTTGTTTTCTTTCAAAGTTATATACTGTATCTAAAGTTGCTTTTCTCCACTATCATTTGGTTCCAGGCAGCACAGTCACTTTCAAGTTTATCATCATATGTCATCAATCAAATATTTCATGTTAGTCATAAATAAATCCAGAGTACCAGCAAATCTCCATCAGTATAACTATATCTTGCTTCTCTTTCAGTTTTATGATGCATGTTAGAGCAATATTGCCAGTATTTTTTGTCTGGTAAGATGGTCTGTACTATATTGATATAACAGTATTATATACAGTTGTTTGTACCCTCCCTTCTAAAGTTGCTGACAAACAGTAAATTGGAAATCTTAAGTAGCAGCTTAAGGGCACAGCAAGTGGAGAAAATTTATCTTTCTATAAGAACAAATCGCATCTCATCTACTAAATTAAAAACAATTGAAATGGTCTTTATAATGTCCTAATCCTATTATTTTATAATTAGAATCAAACAACCCCAGGATTGAAAACCACAGAATTAAATATATTGTGTACAATTATTACTTTTACCATATAGAAAATGTTTCATCGAGGGCCTTTGCAGTTTGAAAGGGATATAAGGTGCTGGGAATAGCATACTATAATATTTTATAGAGTTAAATATGAATGCTACCAAATAATGAAACTTATAGCTGACGCTTAATAGTAGGGGCAGCTATACTAAGGTCAATATGTGGTATTTGGTCAGATGATTAATATTGTAACTTTTACACCCCCAAAATCTCTTATCTGGCTCTTTTGCTAATAGAATAGTTTGAGATAGTGTCTAAGAAACAACATCAGCATGTTTTAAGTGGGTCATATCCTAGAGAAAGGTTAATTTTGCAGTGTCTCCATTTCTTGTTAGATGAGCACGCTTTAAGTATATGCCTTTTGTTGAAAACATGATGGTAAGTTTTCCACTAGGACAGTTGCTGAATATATAAAGGTTATCTTTGTCTCTTTACCCCCTCTACCAAACTAATGCTACTCTTAGCTACCCAAGACTTAGCCCTGACACTCCTCCATTCTCAACTGATTTGTGTTTTATAACATTTTCTTCTGTAATACCCTCTATCTGTGCTTTCTGAATGTCTGTGCAGAAATTATTTTAAAACTTAATCTGAGCTTGCAGTAGAAGAAGGTAGCTTTGAGGCAGTGTGCTGTTAAGTGACTGGAGAGAAACATATTTCTCCTACCCTTATTTTTTTTTTTCCTCCTTGCCCCCAACTTTTAAAGATAGTGTTAATGGTTGTAATGATGGGAATTTCAGATTAGAAAGATAGGAGGATGAAAAGGGGATTTGGGAAAATGATTTTGTCCTTAAAGCAGATATCTTACTGACAGAGCATGTAACACGTTACAGATAGTCTTTGTGAACGTAGGAAGTAAAGAACCTTTGCATATCGATAGAATGTACATCAGAGCTGATTCTCGTAACAGTAAGTTTTTCTCTCTAATGTTACACATTTCTCTTTATACTTTAGATGTTTATCCATCAATGTTAGAACTTCTGCAGTTACGTATCATCTGTGACAAATACTTGGTACTACCTTGCTTCGTTGTTATGTTTATTTTGTCTTAAATAGCTCTTTTTTTTCCCCCCAGGCTGCTAGTACACCTTTGAATCCTTTAAGTTTTCAGTGTGAATTTGTAAAACTCAGGATTGACCTTTTACAAGCCTTCTCTCAGCTCATCTGTACTTGTAACAGCCTAAAAACAAGCCCCCCACCTGCAATTGCCACAACAATTGCCATGACCTTAGGAAATGACCTTCAGAGATGTGGTCGCATCTCCAATCAGGCATGTCTTTTCTTTTCAATGTGCTTTTTATTTATACTTTTCAGGTTTTTGAAATTTGTTTTAAGATAAAAAGTTGTGAAATTTAAAATCAGTGATTGACTTAAACTTAGGCACCAGATGTTTATTAACTCAGCTACCAAAACTAGGCTGATGAGTTATTAGAATGATAAAGTGATGGATTGATGATGGTCTCCCTGAGTGACACATATATAGAGAGAAATAACGTGACATTTTAAAGAAATTTAGGAATGTTTTAAACTATATTAATTATTATAGTGTAACCTGAATCTAAGATGCAAATTTTTTGTTCCTATATATCATATGTACATTATTGTGATCTGTGGTTTCATCTGCTATTTCATTGATTTTTATGTAACAAAATTTATGAAAAAGAATAGAATAATATTTTTTGAATTATTTTGTTTGAAGCTTTTTAATGGTTTGATTATTGTGTTGTTTACACAATGATGATAGCATGTTTATTTGTCATAACTTATATTATTCTCTTTCTTATAGATGAAACAGTCCATGGAGGAATTTCGAAGCCTTGCTTCCCGATATGGGGATCTTTATCAGGCATCTTTTGATGCTGACTCAGCAACTTTGAGAAACGTAGAGCTGTATCCTATGCTTGACCCAGTATTTTTTGTTCTTTGGAAGTATTCTTTTAAATGTAGATTAAATACTTCAGATAAACTTATCTACAAAATGTATATTAAATAAGCCTACAAATGTATTATAATTAATAATTTCTCCCTTTGAAATCTAATATAAGCAGAATAATTTTACTTTTTAACTGCAGTCAGTTTTGTTTTTTTTTTAAAGGTGACTCGGTTTTCTCCATCTCCAGGAAGAGCATCCAAAGCCCAGATCTTACCGGTGTTGGATACTTTGTGCTTGTGTGAGCTATAACCTACAGCACATTGTACTTTCCCACGGGAGAACAGTCCTTTTCCCCTTCATGGCTAACAGCTCTAGTTCTCATCACTTTTATTAATGATCTGTTCAGCAGTCTTAGTCATCACTTTTGTTCCCTAACCCCTCTCTAAGTTCACCATATTTTCTTTTTTTTTTTTTTAAGTTTTGGCTGGGGCCAGGCTTGAATCCACCACCCCTGTATATGGGGCCAGTGCCCTACTTCTTGAGCCACAGGTACCACCCTCACCATATTTTCTTTTTAGCAACTTCAAATTATTTTTTAAAGGAGGGAAGAGAAATTGTTTTTAAGTGGTAGACTTACCAATCAGTAGTTCTTAGCATTTGGTTTACTGATGGAAACCTAATGAGTGGTATGTACCCTGTGCTCTACAAAATGGGATTATACACACACATCCCAAATTTACGCAACCTCAGCAGGTTTAATAGACCCCCCGGAGCCCCAGATTAGGAACCTCTGGAATTTGGGGGTTTTGTTTTTAATTTTTATCAGTAAAACTTTGTATTGTTTGCTTTTTTGTCTCAAACTCTTATGAAGAACCCCTTTATCTAAGACACATAAAACCATGTTGCTGTGACTGAATCACAAGCCTGTTATTTGGTTCCCCCTTCCCATATTAGAGAGCCTTAGAAGTACCCTTTATGGAATAGTCTTTCAAGAATCACTGTTATAAACAGTGCTACATATCTCTTAAATGGAAAAAATAGAGCTATAAACCATTTGAATTGATAATATGATTACCTTCACTAAAAATATGATCCACTTTGGCTTGTTTAATATTTAGATAATATAAATCTGTAGTGGAAATCTATTTTCACGTATAGCCTTAACATTAATCCAGACAGCAACAGAGCTGTTTACTGATATCTCATGCAGTAGAAGCCCTGATTTTGGATCCAGAATCAGCAAGGTAATTCTAATAATAGTTTACATCACAAAATACTTTCAAATATCTTGTCTTACCTAATCGTCACGATAGTGTTTTAGAAGAGGTATTACAAAAGAAAAAGGAAAAATTCTCTCAGCATTTTCCCAGGATCATACAACTTGTGAAAAAATATACCTTTTTTGACTTTATTGTCTACTTATCCCTCTGCCTCATATTTTTAAAACATTGGTTTAGAAATATTAACTAGGAAGTAATTCTTTGAATATTAACAATTTCTTCTTGTATATTAAGCTTTTTATAAAAAATTAAACTAATGGTATGATTAAGCTTGACCTTGACATTTTTATTCTTTGGTTTCCCAAGCCAAAATAGTCCAGATTTTGCTTTGTTAAAATATTTCTCCTCTCCTGAAATAACTAATTAATTATTCAAAATTTTTGTTTTTATTAAATGATGCATTTTTCTCCCTTATGGTATTCTGTTTTAGATACACATTTCATTGCCTATAATTTCTGTCTAATAAGGCTTGAGATTTCAAGATCACTTTCTTCTAAGAAAATATAATCAACAAAGCAATTTAAATTTCTTTACCTTAAAGTATAGACAAACTGTTTCATGTCAGGCCAATACCAACATTTTTGCCATCAGTTTCAAAGTAGTAACCTCTCTCAGACTAGTGAGGCTGTTTTTCCTGTCACTTTACCTGATCCACTTTAGCATTTTCAGGACATAGGAATTTTCACTTATTTTTCCATTTATCCTATTCTCATCTCCATTGTCTTTCCCTTAGACATGTAGTGTACTGTTTTATTTTTTAAAAAGTTTATCCCTTTTAAGTTTTAGGTTGTTTTTAAGTTTCTGTGTCTTTCACAGTCTTTCCTAATTATTTCTTTCAGGCTTACATCATTCCTGATCATATTATATTCATTTTACCTCTTAATTTACTGATTTTCCAATGATTATACTGTTCGTTGTCAAAAGAGTGTTTTCCTTCATTGACTTTTTAACAGAGAGAAAGGTACATTGTCAACAGAGTAGTGTGAAAGAAGTTGTGTAGTCACCTCACACATAGGTTCTCATTGTGTCTCAGATTTCCCCCTTCCTACCGTCTTTTTCTACTCTTTTCCATCCCCGAACCCATCTTCACAAAGATGGGAAATTGCAAAAGGAAGCTTGTGCTTCAAATGAGAATGCTCTGGGTCTCATTCTCAATGCACAGCTGCAAGGAGTAGATTCCATCTAAAGCTTTGGTACTTGATGTTTTATGATTCTGTGCTTTGCAAATAAAGAAGGACCTGCTCCTAAAAAGAATCTCAAAAAGATGAATCATGCCCAGAATTATTCTCTGTAGCTACACTGACTATTTCACTATAGTTTTTACAAAAGTCTTTGTCATAGCCTAGAAGGTATTAGGAGAAGGGACCTTGTCTTATTCAGCTTTGTATCATAGCAGCTGTCACAGTACTTGAGCCAGTATGTTCAATAAATGTGGGCGAGGAAAGGGTAGAGGTTTGTAATTATGAATGTTTTTGTGTACCTCATGCCAGCTTATTTGGGTTATCAAGAAAAGCATCTCTTATTTTGAGATGCTTGTTCATAGTGTTTGCTCTATCACAGTTCCTTATACTTTATTTCTATTTGCCTTAAAATTGATGGAATGGCTTCTGGCCATGTCAGAATAACTAACACTGCTCTTCCCATCCTACATAAACAACTAATATCCTTGATGAAACATGTGAATCAGCTGTTTTCAGACATTGGCCAATAGGCAGTTCAGAAGTATAATCCCCAAAAGAAAGGACACAGTTAGGTAAATAGTCCTTGCTTTTCTCTACCTGGAAGTACTTTTTAGACTACTCTCAGGGAGGAAGAACCACAGCAGAACACAGTAGTCTTACTAAGCTAAAGAGATGGAAATCAGGATTTGGAGAACCAAGGAAGCTTTCCAGAAAAACAGTTCTAAAAATCTGCATAGGCTGTGAGTCTAAGCTGCACATGTCTAAGTGCAACAAGGCTGAGCAAAACACAAGTACCAGGGAAGAATAATTACCAGGAGGCTATAAGCTGAACAATTAACAGAGCTCACATGCTGGAAAATATTTGAATTCCAAGCAGCCAAATTGGAGTGACCTTACTGAACACCCAAAGCATTCAGAAGAGATACCCATAGTATCATACTGCATTGACTGTCTACCGAAACAAATTTAACAATCTTTAAAGACAATAAAATCCAAAAAAATCAACAATGTAAGATTTACATTTATGGTATCTAATCAGAATTTACTTAAACCCAAGAAAAGGAGGAAAATGTGGCAGATAACCAAGAGAACATTTAGTAAATTAGAAAACAGATTATAAATGACAGAAATGATAGAATTAACAGACTTGGACTTTAACACAGCTTTTACTAATAGTTTCAAAGATACAAATGTTAATGGCCATGTAATGAGGAAGAAAAAACAGGTTAAAAAGATTAAATGGAACTTCTAGAGCTGAAAATATAGTATCTTGATTTTAGTGTGAAGAATAAATAATTTTGATAAAGAATTTGAGGTTGATTAGGTTGTGCTTAACAATAGACTAAATACTACTAAAGAAAAGATCAGAATGGAGTTAAACTGAAATCATTTCCACTCATATCAGGAACCAGGCAAGGGTGCCCATTGTCTCCGTTGCTCTTTAACATCGTAATGGAAGTTTTAGCCATTGCAATTAGGGAAGAAAAGGCAATCAAGGGCATCCATATAGGGTCAGAAGAGATTAAACTTTCACTTTTCGCAGATGATATGAT